TTAGTGGTGCTAAAACCGCTCATATTTTCTTGCAATTTTTAAATATTGGCAATCGCTAGCTGAATTCCTTAAGTATGCTCTTATAAGTCACAGATGTTTTAACTCCGCTGAAAAACGAATTCAAGACATCGCGGGTTCCTGGTTACGTGCCGTCTAGGAACCCCGGGATCTAATGACTCCAAGCCCCTAGCCGAAGGGATAAAAGGCACCGACTGAGACGAGTCTTCACAAAAATAATAACGGAGTATTTACTAGGCTGTCCGGGCCGTATTGCAATACGCCCTGAGGAAGGTCGCAGAATGGCAACCGAAACGTCGGCACCTTCGCCATGGACGCGGCGTCACTCGGACAGCCTAGTATATACTGAGTCCGGCCGCGGAAGCCTACGCTCTCATAATAAAGGAGGATTACTCTATGCAATGTGCTCACGGTCCAGCAAGGGTTCAGAATCGCGTTGCATCGACAAAGTCGCAACAAATTAATTTTTTTAATCGAAAATTCAGAATGTTCAACGAAAATGAAACTTCAACCATTTTTAAGCGTTTACTCTATCTTAGAAAAAAAAAAAAGAAACAAATTGGGGCTGTTTTTGAGAATTGTTCTTTATAAATTGCAGTAACTTCAATCAGCAATTACATGAGTTAAAAAATGTATATGACCTTACTTAAAGTTGTAGTTTTTACAACTGATTTAATTAAAGACAAACATTTCGACCATTTACATTGTACTTTTGCGTGTTTCGTTTTTGCAATTTTCGAAAATACAGTGCGTTTGATTTTGCAATGTATACCGGTTATGAAAATGGGAACAGTACATTTTTTTTTACCTCCCTTGGCTACGTACGATGAAAAATTGGATTCGTTTCTGAGAAAATAATTGTTTAAAAATTACTTATAATTGACGCAAAATTACGCAAGTTACTCCCATTTTCTGAAAATTGTACTTGACCATCATTCAAGATGTCTTTCAACAATATTTTTTTAAGAAAAATCTCTATCTTTAATATTTTAGTTGTAGAAAGTCGCCGAAAAATGTCGAACTTTGGCAATTCTCGAAAAATAAAGAATTTCAACGAAAATGAGATTCGCTCCGTTCTTTTAAATGTTCGTTATCCATGGACAATGTTTCATAAAAAAAATGAAGCCATTATTTGAGAAAATGTTGAGTCTTCGTGTAAAGTACTGCAAAAATTTGACATATCCCTTTCGAACTTGGCGAGCTTTGAGTTCCTCCAGATAGAGGGAATATCAGTTTTTAAGAAAACCGCCTGAACAGTTCAACCGCTAGCGTTGACCACAGGTAGACGGACGGACACCGCCATATAAACTGTTTATTTCATGCGACCGGCGAAATGTGAACCTTTTTGTAAGTATTTTGCCGCCATGGTTTAATGCACCTCTCGAACCAGGGTAACAACGGCGCTGATCTAACCATGAATTAAAGCTGCCTGTTGTTTTCCTAATTCAACAATAGCCCAAAGCCTTGTGAACCTTTTTCCATTTTACCACTCTGTTTCAGTGTTATTTGAAATAGTGGGCTAATTTCAAACAAATTAAGATTAATATGGGTTTTTAAATGTTGGATCATTCTTTAATGGTTTGGGGTTTCTTTATTCTTCCTTGTCAACATTATGAGCAATTGTTTTTTTAATAAAACTTAATTAAATATATCTATAGTAGTATTTGTTCTGGCAAATTTTTGTAATTTTTTTTCTAAAAAATGACTACCAAAATGTTTCCACAACCTAACCTACCAAATCCATAATATTTCCATAAATAAATATGGACAACCCATCTTACTGCTGATACTTTTAATCTAACAATTCTTTACTATAATTATGACTTTGTAGCTCATGTCAAAAAATATCAGTGATCATGTAACACAAAAAACTATTTGAATTATATAGATGAAATGCACAATACAGCTTAAGAGGTACGTAATACACAAATGCTCAATTACACTATATTACAAATCAATCAAAAAAGTATCAATTACAAAAAAACATACTGCAAAATTAATGCCTAAATACTCCAAAGTATGTAACATATTTTTTTAAAGAAAAGGACATAACTATTGATTAAAAAATAGACATATTGATCAATGTTTGTTCATTAAATACAAGAAGCAGGGGTTTTTGCTTCTCAAAATGTAGAAGTTTGGACAGTGTCCTCCACATGCCAATAACTACTGAAAATTATCTCAAAGGCATTCTAATATTTTTTTAAATTTTTTTTTTTATTTATTTAAGGTTTCATCAACTTCTAGGTTATTAGTGGCCACTATTGCATGTACCGGTATGGTGACTATGAGAATGACATGATATGATGATGATAGGGGGTGAAAGGATGAGCACAATACAACCATGCCCGAGGCAGGACTTGACACCGCGATCCTTCGGTCCGAGTTCGCTCCGGCACTACTGACTTCATTCTAATCTTGTAACACAGGCTGTTTAAAATAAGGTGTAAATAATGAAGCTGTTTTACATAACCCCCCTTCTATGGTGTAAGTTTACTTGCAAAACTCATATTATTTTAAAAAATATATGAAATACGACATACTGTAATCTATTAATAGGCTTAATTGAGTGTAATAACATTTTGTTTTTTCCTCTTATTCCTGCAAAACAGATGGCTTCTAAGTTTTAAAATGTTTGAAAGGATTAACCCTGTTTGCAATATTAAATATACCAACAAATAAGTTAAGTGATGCCAACTTTCATCACAATGACAACTTGTTGCTATTGTGACAATGAGCAAAATAACCATTTTAATCAAGACATGATGGAATTTAAATATACAATATACTAATTACTTTATCAAAAAAAAAATATTAATAAAGAATATAATTTTGTGATTTGTGGATGGTTGCAACATAGACTATTAAAAACAGAAATGCCCTTTTGCATTTGCCAGTTGGAAATATGAATGAATTTTCTTTTGGAAGACAGGACATAAGTCTCTTTATTCATGAGTATACAAAAGACTAAATGGCAAGCTGTAATCCTGTCATTTATGTACATTTACCAATCCAATATTACCAATAATACATTGCTTGCTTTTGAAAAATCTATGACAATCTTAGCAGGCATTAAAAAAAAAAAAACTACAAATGCTATATATGTTTGAAGGAAATTCAGTAACAGTAGTAGAGTATAACCTTCAGAGAAAATATAACTAACCTAACTTCAATATCAACAAACAAGCTCCTATTTTCTGCCTATTTCTGAGTTACTGAACTTAGCCCACCCATTGTACACCAGACCCTGCACAATTGTTCTTGCATACTTGAAATTGCCAGTGAAGGTCATTAGTGTTTATGTGTAGATTAAGTTTGAAATCTAATCTATAAACATGAAAAGCAGTTCATCAATATGTAGTTTGAACAATCCTCTCTAATTTAACTGAACCTTTTTTTTCAACCCAGTGACACCCTGGAGCACTCACTTGATAGACATTCAACAAGTATAGACAGAAATGCAACAAAACACGGCAAAATGTTTACTAATATTCACTCCCTATATAAGTAAGGTTCTCAGAAAAGTCAAAACGATTAAACTTTCATTAATAATCGTATAAAATAAAAATGAAAAGGGACTAACGCAATACGAGAACGGATAATAATTTCGCTGACTGCTAATTCAATGTACGGCACTATAAATCGTAATTTTCCATTGCAAATAAATTGTAATAGTAATATGACATCGATAACTTGACAATTGTACGCCTTATGACTTATCTATCGCCAATAAATAATATTCATTCCGGTATACAGAAAATTTAAATAGCGAATTGCGCCATCAAGCACTTGCCAAAATTACAACCAATAAACATAGTTTTCATAAGGTGTGGGCGGTCAACAGCCGTCAATTGACAGTTTCCAATGTTACTAGACGTATGCAGAAAACTTATTTTCACAGCCTTCTCGATCACAGTCGCTCTATGTCATAAAATTGTATACACATGCATGCGATTCCTGCATGTCAAGCAAGTTGTCATTTTCAATGGTGCAGATGATCGGGTTTGCACAAAACTATCTTTCTCCGTAGTCCGTAGAAGAGTAACTTCGATTCGCTCACGGTTAGGTAACATTTACATAAATCGAAAGGGAATAACTTGTCATTCACCACACTCTCTCTCCTGAACTTCATATGTGTGCAAAGTAACACCCCAAAAGTATACATTTTATCACATCTTCTTCACATGCTCTTTTAATTACAGAATACATCAGAATAAAGCTAAGTGCACCAACATTTCGCGCTTAGTAGATGCCATTCCCGTTTAAACATAAGTCAAACGAGAGACCAAATTGCGTGTTCCGTGGTGTCATGTGCATTGAAGGGTTTTCCATCCTGAGTTGCCTGCAGTTATTTTCATATTGATGTGGAATTGGTTTTTAAAATACACACTCGAGTGGTTAATTGTGAAATTAATACGAAATGCGTGTTAAAATGTTCGTAGCTAAACGGACGTCCCTCAACATGCGTCAATTCCCGCGCATTGCATTTTGGTACTCAAGTATATGGATCCGCCATGATGAACGTGAAAACTGGTAGAATACATGTTTGGATGTGTTATTTTGTATATTGTGACTGAGTGTAGTGGAGTTAACGAAATGGAAAAGAAAAAAGAGCGTTTTAGGTTAATATAGTGACGGGTAAAAACCCTCCTGGACCCTGTAAAGGGACATAACAGTGTTTTTCTTGTAGTGTCCAATGTGTTCGTAGCATGTCAACAAAAATGAGTAAACTCTCGTTTCGGGCAAAGCCGCTGGATGCATCGAAGCCCATGCCGGTTTACATTAATGAAGACCTTCCAGGTCTTCCAGACTACTCGGCAATTAACAGAGCCGTGCCTCAAATGCCGAGTGGAATGCATAAAGAAGAAGAATGTGTAAGTTTTTGCACAAAGAGGGTAGAGATAAAACGTGATTGGTCCGCCATGTTGATGTCGCTGCTTATAATATTCCCCGATAGGTGGAAGAATTTTTGATTCATTGCGTTATATCTCAAATTTACATCATTGTTTTCAAGTATATTGATTACAACACTGCTCCGACTCATCCCAAATGCATTGAAGTTGCTTGTTCACTCAATGTTATTTTAAAAGACGTTTGTTTACTATTTTGTCAGACGACCTAACCCTACTTTGGATTCCAAGCTTAGATACCAGTTTCATTCATCTTTGTTGAATTTACTTGAAAATATACCCGAGTTTTACTATTTTGATCACCTAGGAAAAGAACAGTAAAGAATTGAGTATAAGGAATCCTTGACAAACCCAAAATTTGGCTAGTGAAGTGGAGAACAATGTTAATAGTGTGTTTCTGGTCTGCTCAAAATTCTATGACATTATCCAGACAGAGGCCACTTGTTAATAAAGTGATATTATTCATTTACCATGTGGAATATGGACAGATAATTTGTATTTTAGACTGTTTGTATTCCTGTAATTTTTACTTTAGGCAGTGGGTAGTTGATGATAAATTTTTCTATAAAGAATCAGATCATGGGGGACTAAGGACTAAATGGACGAATTTATTAGTTTGGGGGGATTTATTAACGTTACCTAATATTGAAGGAACAGCAACTATAAAATTTATCACCAAGTGTTATTCGCCAAGTTGTCACTTGCCTACTGTAGAAGGTATGTAAATGTTAATGAAAAACATTCGAATCATTTGTTTAAAGCTGTGTATTTCATTAATATTCCATAAATTACTTTAATTTGATTTTAAAAAAGGTCAATGTTATTACTAACTATAACATAATTTAATATTTGGCGTGTATATTTCGCAGGAACATCACTTACAAAGGGCAATATGCACTGGATTAATTATCCCTACTCCAGAATTCACAGATGTATCCGATGGACTTGCCTACGACCGTCTCTACCCCCCCAACTTCGAGCTGCCTCGACAACTGGTGGACATGCAATGTGAGTAATACACAAACTGATTTTGTGGAGATAATTGTATTTATTAGTGGATAATTATTATTTAGAAACCAATCATTGTTTCAAACTTATGATTACTTCACTACTACTTCACAGTTATGATTATGTTGAGTCACACACCTTTTGAGTTGTTTGGAAATGTTTCTTTTTAAATTAAAGTGTCATTTTCAATTCACGTTTAAGTAGGTTTTTTCTAAAGCAGTCCGTAAATTTTAAAATTGTCAAAAATGCAAGTACTCGGTACGTAACATGTGGGATGTTATTTATAGTTTACTGGCAACTTTGTGTTGTGTTTTGAAAGGAGTATAAATACATTTGATATAGTATAATTAACATACCATTTACTTTGTGCGGCCTAGTAATTAATTATGGAAAACCTTTTGTGTAAACAAGCAGAAAGATGAAGGAAAAGTGTATATGGTCCTTCGTTATAAATTCTTGTGTGGTTTTTAATTTAATTATATTTGTTTGTAACTGTTGTTCAGTATTTAAGTTTATAATCGTTTCTTTGATTTCATGAAATTCGAAATATTGTTAAGCTAAAACTATAATATCTTGTTAGTGTTGGTTTTGTTTCACTCTTTCTGTTGGCTTCTCCAACATGAAGTTAAATACACAAATGTTTGTTGGGTTTATTTGAATGAGAACATTAGTGATTTGTTGTTGATTACTCTTTATTTTTTATGTATGTAAGATACATTATTGTGAACATTGTGACATTACTGTAGTATAATCAACAAAAAAATATTGTATGAATAATATTGACTAACTTTGAACAGAAAAAATCTGCTAAGTTTGTTTAATGTTTTATTTATATTATATCAAATGTTTTGTTTATTTATATCAAATTTTCTTCTTTCTTATTAGCTTTTGCTATGGATCAAGAAATTCCTGATTACGATATGGATTCCGAAGATGAGTTGTGGTTCAGCTCACAAAAGAGTAAACTTGAAATTACTCCCCTCAAGGTGGGTGTTTAATATTCGCAATTTGTGTTGGAGACAGGAAGAATGCTTCACACCATGTGTTCCTTTGGATATTTTTATTCAAAAGTGTTTCAGCAGTGAGACAGATGTGAATCACCAAATTTGACCAAATAGTAATGATTTCTAGTGATTTGAATTTGTGTGCTTGACATCTTTGTTCCAATGCGTGTGTTTGTGTACAGAACTGGTGAATTTTCTTTCAAGTAGTTGCAAATGGTTTCCCCAGTGCTAATTTCTGTGGGGGGTATTTGGTGTTGAAGTGCATCAAGAGTTAAATATTGGAAATATGTGTGGAAATGTGCATTATGTTGAAAAGTCTTATGCATTATATTCTTATTCACTTTTATGATAAACATTAATGTGCAGCCTTTAATGATGCGAGAAGCTTTTATTTGTGAAGTGACCAGTGGGAGAAAGATCTATGAAAATGTTTAAATACAATCAGTCAAAAGCAACGCTAGTTTTCAGTGTTCAACAAAATACTACAATTCAGATCAATAGTGTGCAATCATAGTAATCTGCAAATGAAATTGGCATGTGTTAATTGAATGCCTTATGTATGCAAGGAAGTGACAACCATTTTTGATGTGATATTATTCTGCAATTTATAAATTAACATTATTAAAAGAAGATTAATTTTGTGTTAATTGTATAATACTTAGCTTTTAAACAATGATGTTACTGAGTGATATTGGGGGATATTATTTATCTAATAATTTGTGAACACCATAGAGTACTCATTTATTACTATAATTATTTCTATAATTAATTGGAATCTTGGCTAGAAAATTAGGAGGAGCTGTATTTAGTTCGTAAATGCTGCATCCTTTCTCAAATTTCAGCTGCCCATCTTGAATATTGAAGAACGTTGAATTATTATGTCATGGGACATATTCAAAGTTGACTATTAGAGAATAATAAAAAATAGGAGTAATAATAATAATAATAATTAATTGCAGTAATAACATAATTATAGTAATAATATTATAACGTAATTATAGTAATAATGATGATTAAAACACATTTCAATAACAATATTTCATTATGTTCCTCATGAACGTGGAGTGAGTGCTTTCTTAGGTGATCAGAGAAATAGTAACTACACTCCTTATTTATCATTCAGAGAACGTTCAACTTAATCAGATAGTTTGTATTTGAACACATCTATTGGATTACCTATAATAGAAGTCTGAAGTACCCATAATAGAACAAATAATGTTGTGACATTGGCATTTTCTGTAGTGCTAGCGCTGCATAAAAACATAACCTAAACTGGTTAAAGAGGAGGCTCAAGGAGCAACATAATAAAAGGAGCAGATGACCTCCCTGCAACAAAGGAATGGTCACTCGTTACCCACTCATTTGAGAATGAGGGCCCTCATTTGAAAATAAAAGTGGTCACTTAAGGAACATTACTTTTATGTATTTGCTATCAATTCAGTTCCGAATCACAGAATTATTGTAACTCTTTGAATACAAGTTGGTTTACTTTAAGTACAAGTATTTTTAGTACAAAAGAATAATGTGCAGGGGTTTATTAATGTTCCTAACATGGGTAGTTGCCTGTCAAGGAATTTGAAATAACCAGAGAAAGTTGTGAGAAAACTATCATACATGTGAAAACTGCTTTTAGAAAGCATGTAGTAAATCGGCTGTATTAACAGATACATTGTTATTATATTGCATTGGAATCTTTCAAAAGCAGCATGAGGCCAGAAAAAATAACTGAGATCTGTCCACCCTTGTTTATTTAATGTGTCTAGTCCAGGGATGGCAAACTTTTTGTAACTAGTTGGCCACTTGTTAGTTTGCTTTCAAATTTCAAATGTCCCATCTATTGTAGTATAAATGGCCATTTAATACAGGACATGAGAATAAGAGAAACGGGAATTCGGTCTACTTCTGTCGTATACAGTGAAGTTCATAGGAATGCATAATACAAGTGTTATTTTCACTTAACTACAAAATACTGATATATTTGAATTGAATTGAATTGAATTGAATTTGCCTTATTTTACGTGGCGAGACTCGGGCCATCAGGCTTGCTCTTCCGTCTGACCACGCAAATTTCGCTACGCTCCTTTCACCAACTAGGAGAGAAAGGAGGTATTTCTTGGGCGAGAAACAGGCGATTTGAATTTAGCTCAGGGGCGTCATTTAGGCTTGAGGATCTTTAACATGCAAGTAAATCTACGAACATGGGACAGCCGGCTTTACTTCCCCTCCGAAGGAAGGCGTACGAAGGATTTTTTCGCCCTTAAAAATCCACGGCTTCGATCGGGTTTGAACCCGCCAAGTTGGGTACAACAGTCCAGTACGCTAGCCGTTACACCATCGCCGCCGTATATATTTTGTGTGTGTACCCGTACGCAAGATACCCTTACAGGTATCTTGTAGAAACCTGAGTATGCATGAAAATATGTTATCCGAAATAAAAATTGGCAACTACTGAGAATTTTGAAAATGGATTTTGAAGCAGAGTTGCTGTCAACAGTAATTTCCATTGCTCTTACTGCTGCTTGTAGTGTAACAGCACCAAATTTCTAAATTGTCATGAAGCAGTGACCTTCTAATAATACAGGTTAATCTATGAAGTGCACTTACTGCTGCACAAGGTAACTACTCAAATGTGGGAATATCTACACATGTTCTATGACATATCAGTCGGTTCAATAAAAACATTTCTGTTATTGATGGTGACTGTTTCAGCAGATTAGGGGAGAAACAATTAACAGGTTAACATGTTCATGAGGTGTGTTAAAAAAATGCAGTGGTTGCATGCTATAGGTTCACCATTCTTGGCCTAGACCTCTAAACTGTAATTATAGTATTTGAATCACCTCAAAGTTCAGAACATATACTACAAGAACCGTGAATCTAGATCTAAAAATCTATAAACCAAATTGTAAAGAATTATTTAAAATTGTATTAAATTGTTTTAGTGAACTTCATGTAAGTATCTGGGGATTTCAGGTTTAATTTGTTTGCTGCCTGAAATTATTTTATTTAATATACCTTGGTTTCAAGTTTAGGAATGTACTTGTAAACAATGTTATAGTAAAGATCTCCATTCTAAAAGGGGATTTGTATCATATGTAGCAGCATATCCAGGTTCAAATTTGATTGGTTAGAAAATATAGTGGTTTGTGAAGGTGAAAAAGGGAAAATTCTTCAGTGTTGCGATTGAAATTGTTTGAGATTTTGATAATCTTTGTTTAATATTCAAGAAAGTTTCGTGTTTTTGAATTTCAAGGAAAGATAATGGAAAAATTCATGAAAGTGGGGTGGGACAAATGCACAAATTGAGTAAAGCATTGCGTATAACTGAAAAATATTCAGTTAATGGAATGGTGCTCATATTTTTTCTGTTACATGGAAAAAAGATAGTTTCTGTACTCAATAAAGAAATTTTCTGGTTACAGAAGATTCCTTTGATGTGAATATTTTTGTCCTGCAATGGATTTAGTTCACTTGCACCCCTTCATTAATTACAAAATGCAGAAACTGAATAAAAAATTGGTTTTATGACTGTGTGCTGCAGTATAGTTTGATAATCATAGGTTCCTTTACTGGAAAGAACATGGAAAACCTCCTTAGAATTCCAGTAAATAAAATGAAATTTATAGATTGAATTTGAGTTCATTTTGTTACCTTTGCAATATGTGATGTTTTTAAATCACATTACAAGTAGTGCAAGAAGTTAATGTTAATTTTAATTCCACCTGGTACATCAAATTTAATTTGTTCCGTTTGATATAATTGCTCTGTTTTTGTTATCAGTACTTTTGAATTCTTAATTCATTAATGGTTTATAGATGAAATGTTGGATCTGATTAATGAGAAGTAAATTTAAATATGATGAGAATATTTTCTTTCCTATTTATCAGGATCATAGCAATATTTTAGTGTATTTGTGTATCTTTCTTGCTAATATATTGCTTAGTGTGATGATTATGAAAACTGATTATTCTCTTATATATAATTTGTTTATTGAACATATTTTTATTTAACAAAAATAAATTTCAGTTAAACATTATTGTAATAGAAAGCTACATTAAGAAATTGCTTAAAATGTCTACTAACAATTCAAGAGCTTTTAAAAGAGTGGACTTTCATGGCTAGAGTCCATAGATTCTTGGCTCTCTTGGAGATGCTGCATCCTAGGCACTGTTGCCAATGTTTTAACGATCATACTGTGACCTTCCTCAGGGTGAAACGAGGGATAGGTTATATTTTATTTAGCGTAGTATCTTTATGGTGACTTCCTTGGAATACTATTTTAATGCTTTGTGTTTAACTGTATCTTATGAATATTCTTTCTTTTTTGGACTTGGTGTACATCCTTAAGTAGGTAATTTTCTAATAGCACAATTTTGGTGTACACTATCACAAATTTAATGTCATTGATTATATTTAGTGTTGAAAGATTTCCAAACAAATTTGTGTGAATTTCGTAATAGGAAAATTTGATTGTGTAATGTAGTTGTGTGATGATAGAATGCAATGCTTAACATAATTTGCAGGAATGGACAAAGTCAGAGATGTTTCACAAAAATTTATTTTTTAAAATGTTGTCACTGGATTAAACTTGGTTATCAGTTTCATTGAATGTTGAGATGAAGATGGATGTATTGTGAAAGTACTGATGCTGACAATAGGGATTTTTGCACTGAACAATGTGATACTAATTTTGTAAATAAAAGCTGTGAATAATTGTGATGTTGGAAGGTCACATAAACAAATGTATTGAGACTAAATTGCTCATAAAGATCTGTTGGTGAGAGAGTGAGCTGAACATGTGGAAGCATGGTTGTATTGCTCTTAAGACTGGATTTACACACTTCTTTTTGGTGAATGATTTTGGAGGATTTAATGATAGTGCACATTCGCACAGTGGCTCTGCTGCTCCAGAAGCCACTGTACATGTGCATATGTTCCCTAAAACTCCCAAAATCGTTTGTCAAAAGGAAGCGTGTAATTTGAGTCTCAGGTACCTATGTCATGCTGCAGTTACATAAATTGTTGGATCAGTAACAGGAATTAAAGACGAAGATGAAGAAGAGAGGTCAAAGAGAAAGATTTTTGTGAAATGGTTTAATTTTTGTAATTGTTCCTATCACTACGTGTTGTGGAAACTACTGAGAGATTCAGGAACTGTATCAAGTGAAATAGCAAGGACTACCAGTTAATGTGATAAGTATTGGTGTATTAGATATTAGGTAGAATGTGAGTACTCGTGTGTTGTGTACTTGTGTATGTGTGTGTATTTCTACGTAATTGATGTACATATTTTGAACAATAATTTATAATAATAAATAGAAATAATTTAATTGCAGGGCAAGATTTTGAATGTCATTAAAGTAAAACTATTTGCTCAAAAGTGTCTTGCTATAATATATTTTGTTTTTGATATTTACACCATATCTGTTGCATATTTGCTTCACAATATCAAAATTTAACTAATCACTTTTAATTTTTGTGTATTTATTATGAATTACCCTGGTAATGTGATGGTAACACTGATTTGATCAATGGATGTTTATTAATTTTGGTTACAGTTTGAAGAAATGATGGACCGTCTAGAAAAAGGCTCGGTGCAAACGGTGCTCTCAGAACAACAGGCAAAGGCCCTCCTCAAAGATGACGATGACCTAATATTAACAGTTTATGACTATTGGCTCAACAAACGGTTGAAAACGGTTAGTTGTTTGTGTTAAAATACTGTTTGAATCCATTTGCATTTGTTTTTGCTAAATAAATAAATAATAAATTAATATTGGTTATGATGTTTTTCAGCAACATCCTCTTATACCATCAGTTCGAACAGAGCATCATCATGGTACAGCACCAAACAATCCGTACATTGCGTTCCGCCGCCGAACTGAAAAAATGCAAACTCGTAAACACCGTAAAAATGATGAGACATCGTATGAGAAAATGTTGAAACTCAAACGAGACCTGAGTAGAGCGGTTACTCTTTTGGAGATGATAAAGAGGAGAGAAAAGACTAAACGGGAAGTACTTCACTTGACAGTGGAAGTTTTTGAGAAAAGGTAGGGTTATGGACAGTAGATATCAATAGTATGTTATCTTTATTGGGAGAATGGAGGGGTTATATTTATTTATTATTATTATTATTATTATTATTATTATTATTATTATTATTATTATTATTATATGGGCAAATAAGTCCATTATTTACAAAAAGAATACAATAAAAAATTTCCCTTACGTAAGACCCCTGAAAAACAAATAAAGAACGTTTTTCATGTATTTATCAAGTATTATTTTCTTTTGATAACTGTTTGTAAGACACTGATGTATAAAATTTGCCCTATTTCTTTCATATGATGAATCTTTAAAGATTAAAATTGTAAATGGGGTGTGTTATTATCATAATAGTATTTGTACTTTAATGTATTGATTTGAGAACATTTTATTTAATGATTGATTCATTCATTCAATTATTATTATTATTATTATTATTATTATTATTATTATTATTATTATTATTATTATTATTGACAGTGGTTCCTGATCATATTACTTGAGTCAGACACAAAATGTTATCAGTTTTTTCAGTTGTTATCAGTTGTAACAAATGTTGAAATGATTATCTGAGAGAAGGTATGTAATTGATAGTGAAAAGTTATTAGTACTTGTTTTTGAGAATGATAATTGTGCCAGTTGCCTATGTGTTGAGAAATAGGAAGAAGTTGTAAAGTTGTTGGTATGGGAGAAGGATTTGATGTATATTTTTCATGTGCAGGTGTGCTTATCAAAGTCAGTACAATTTTCTTTAATGTAATGTAAGAATTTCAGGTAAAAGCAAAGCACTTAATTGCTAAGTTTTGCAGGATATCTTTACTAAGGAAGGAAATTCTGTCTTACTAGATATGTTTTATAAAGTAACAATTGTGGTATTTTTCAAGATTATGAAGTGTCAGTCATAAGGAAAGATTCTTGCTATACAGTATAAAATTCTATTGTCACAATCTTGGCATTGATTTTAAATATTGATTGCTAAATTTTAACATGTATTACAGAATTTGGACATTTTGAGGTTAGAATGTCACCTGAAAAATAAGACCCTTCTGACGTCACAGAAATTATCTGGAAATTTATTAAAACGATGGAAATTGTTGATATTTTTGTGAGCTTGTAATGGAAGCATTGGAATTTTTTCTCCTTCCTGATGTCATGGTTTTTGAGTTGTGTGTTTAAAATTTAATTAAAAATATATTGTTTATTAGTGTTACAATTCTCAAAAATATTTTAAGATTTCACCAATAGGTTTTATAATTTTGTACAGTGGGTAATCGAATAATATGTGGAAATTTTGTATATCTTGGAATACTCATCTCAAATGTTATGGTTTTCCATTGTTGTGTTGCAACACTCTTTCCTGACCTGTTTGGACAATGATAACCATAAATGATGTTTACTTTATTGTTGGCTGTCAAAAAGTTTTACATTTTGCGGTGGGTTCTGTGATTTTTCTTTTATTTTAATTTACTTGAAGGAAAAAATCTATCGAAGAATTTGCATTAAATTTTGCTTTAAGAAAAAATTAAATGCAGCATCATAACAGAAATCTTGAATGTTGGTTTTGGCAAGTCTTCTGTGGATAATACAAGCATTTACAAATGTTTTCAAGATGGTTGCGAACACGAAGATGTGCACCCTACATGCCTGTGCATCAACAACTGATAACATCAAAAATATGAAGGAAATTGTTATAGGCAATTGCCCCCTCACAATTAGAGAAGTAGCTGATAACATTGGCATATCATTTGTTACTTGCCAAGTAAAATTTGTTCCAAAATTGTTGAATTTTGACTAAAAGCAGTGTCAAGTGAGCATTACTCAGGAGATCTTGAATAAAGTCTGTGATAATTCAGAACTGCTCAAACGGGTCATAACTACTTACAAAATATGGGTGTACTGATATCAACTCGAAACAAAGTCACAATTGTCCCAGTAGGTGCTTCCTGAAGATCCAAGACCAAAAGTAGCATGTTAAGACTGATTGAATACAAAGGTACTGCTCACTGTTTTCATAGTTTTCAATAATGTGTAATGCATATTGAGTTCTTGCCACCAGGTCGTAATTCTATTGAATTACTACATGGAAGTTTGCATGAAGCAATCCGAAGACGACACCCAGATTTGTGGTGAAACAACTGATGACAGTTGCATCAAGATCGTGCACCTGCTTACATTTCACTGCTTTTTCATCGATTTTTAACCCAAAACAACGCCTTTATTATACCTCAGCCTCCATATTCACCAAACATGGTGCCCTGTGACATTTTCCTATTCCAAAAGAAGATCTTGAAAGGAAGATTAAGAAATCCTTGAAAGAAACACATCTTGCCAACATTGAAGAAAAGAGCAAAATCCCTGAAGGGGCTAAATGCCATTACAAAACAGTGTTCCAGAAGTGCTTTGAAGACCGGAAAAAACTTTCGTGCAAATACATTATATCTGAACAGAATTATTTGAAAGAGACATAATCAATGTTGATGTATAAATGAAGATATTTTGAGAGTTTCCGTGTACTTTCTGGTCAAATTATGTAGTATGGAGAAATATTTTGTCTTAATGTATTGGGTCTCTTGCGATGTTTTTAAACAGTTATTTGCAGTAGTCTGCAACAAGTGACGGAATAAATTAAGACAAAATATTGAACTAAATAACAGTCGTATTCAAAAAATATTGTGTGTAGTATGGAAAAGTTTACACTGTTACAATAGCATATGAAAGTTATGAAGTAGTGTAGTAACTATTTAACACTAACACACCCATTTCAAGTATTTTCTTTCGAATAACAAGCAATAGGACACTAGGATCTTATGGCTTTTAATGTGTTTATGTAGTTAATAATATAGGAAGTTTTTGAAAATTTTCATTGAAGCTCAAGTTGTTTTATTGCTTATTTTTCTTTAAATGTCCAAGAGATACCAATTTGAGGCATGCCTAACTGCTGAGCCATTCATCTCTAGGTCAGTCTTTTTGGAAGTATCTTATTGACTTCTGAAAAATCATGCATGCAATCTTCAACGAAAAACAATTCCAATAGATTTCAACTAAATTATTGGTATGTGAGGCAGCAGTGAAACAAAGCATTATTGTTGTAGTTGTATGATAAATAAACTATAACAGACAAATGAAAAATGATAAAAATAACAGACAAATGAAAAGCTTTCGGAAGTATATTCATCCTCTTAGCTTCTATTTTCCTTATATCTGACAGCTTTTCTTTATTTTGGTGTAGTGCTTTCTACCATGTTTCAAAATTCTGGGTGGCATGTATGCGGAGGACATTCTCAGTTGATATTTCAACATCATCAATGGTGATTTGGAAGAATTGATGACATTGTGATTGAAAATGACAATCCGCATTGCACTTGCACGAAAAAATGTTCTAGTTTTTACTTCATAATGCCAAAAATATTTGAAAACCTATATTTAATAGTGGTGGGGGGATGTATTTGCGAGTATTTGAGGAGGGGTGGGAGTCATTGTTCTAATTTTATTGCTGATGATTCGTACTGTTAAACATGTGTAATGAATATTGTTATATGAAAGAGACAACAGCATTATTCAATGTCAAACCTTAATTGTTCTTTTGAAACTAGTTACTGAGGGAATTGCAGCACTACTTTTCATTTTCAGGTATCAAGCTGGAGACTTCTCTGGCCAGTTACTTGCTGAGGTGTCTGCTCACAAACCTTGTTCACGACCAGCTTTTGCCCCACTGTTCCCGAATCAGTTCTCAGTCAACCATCAAAATTGGCCCCCCAAGGTAAGCTTTGAATGTTTTTTTCACAAGGTGCAATAACAAGTGTCCTTGTGTGATATACTATACACAAGGAGGTTGCCTATGGTATCCATTAAAGGCTTCTTGTGTCTTCTCTCTCCATATGTTTATTCATTTGTAATGCATTGTTAGAAATGCATACTCTCTGGGTCACCACTTTTCCTATTTAACAACTTTGATTCATATTCAAAGCAACTCATCCATTGATACAATGAATCTACTTTTCTTTTTGATATCTAAGGGTTAGCATGAAATAAGATGGAATGCATGGTTAATCACAGATTGGGGTGCTACTTTTGGAATGTTGGTAATTGTCAAATGTTCTTCAGGTGGACTTTTTAAACTGGGTTAAACAGATCGTAACATTAAGTAAATATAATAAATTATGAAATTGTTACATCATTTAGAAAATTGTATGAATTGTGTATGTGAAAGAGGTTGTGTCTATAAGGGAAGTTCGTGTTACATATTGAAGTTCTTCAGGAAACTTGCATGTACTTTATTTGACATATTTATTGAAAATACATGTTCATTAATACATCTATCCATGAACACTGACCATATTACATAAGTAGTGATATAACTTGATAAGGAAGACAGAATGGTAGTAGTGAAAGTGCCTTTATTGTGAGGACAATGCAGTGGCGTTTGAGTAAAGGGAGTTGTCATTTTGAAGGCTGAGTCTTGTTGGTTAGGGAGTTACATATATGACAAAATATATAATCTTCAACTTAAATCTACAATTAAAATGAGTGATTTTAATATTTTTTAAATATTCTGTGCTTTACAGTTATCACAAAATTTTATTTCCGCTTCTCTTCAAACTTACTTTTATGACTTGACTCTACCAAAAAAACATCCAATTGATTACAGATTGCTGAAGAAGCAGAAAGAAGGAAAGCCTTTTTATTCATGATAACTTGAAAAGAGCTTATGGTACCAACTTTTTTTCTAGGTTAACACGTCATTTTGAGAATACCTCAAACTACCATGTATAGAAGCTCAAATGACAAGCTAGTGTGCCTGAATAATGATAATGACTGAGTTTTTGTACTAGTCAACTGCATGGCAATGACTGCATGGACACTTTTTTTTTTTTACTTCAGGAGCAGTAGGCTCTGAAAAGTTTGGCTTCTATCTTCCTTCTATCCGCATTGATAAGAGATGTGGAAAACTAGCTTTACACACTTCCTACCAAGAATTTTGTAATGCTATTGTCAGTCAACTCATGTTGTTACTTGTTTGAAAGCGACATCTGTTTTGACTACATTGCTGTTGCTGTTTTGTGCTGTGTCTTTTGACATACTCCCATCAGTGCTACAAGGTCATTACTGTCACTTTTGTTACCAGACACATTTGTTTGTGATGTGTTAATCTTTTAGCATGATCATAATGCACGGTAGTGAAATGAACTGAAAAAAGCATGTGACTTGTTATTTCTATAATAGTGTGTTGTAGGTGCTTGTAATGTAATAATTTTTAATAGATTTTTGGTGCTTTTGAGATTCCCACAGCATTTCTATGTAAGTTGTGATTTTGATGCATTGCTCTTGTTAATAATCTGTCTATTAACAAATATATACTTGTGTTTGTTCTAATAATACATATATATCAATCAGTAGTGGTATTTCAGGGCTATTATTGCTTACATGCTGTGTTGTTTTTTTTCACACTTGAAGTATCCTAAAAATATTATTTTAGTATTGGTATTTTATTTTGATGGACGTTTATTCCATATTTCCTATTGCCTTATGCGCCTTAATTATTTGTTCTGATTTCTGTAACCTTAATCATAATTATTTCAAATTAATTTTTCCCCCCTGAACTCATCATTTCTTGTTTCACAGGCGTAGCTAATTGTGTGCTGTGACTGGGCAAGGCCTTTCCTAAGATCTTTTTTTCACATATTTGAATCATGTAAATTGGGAGTGTAATGTACATTTTTTTTAACCTAAGAAAAGTTTTCATAAATTCAAAATTTATTTGGAAGGTTTTTGAATGTACAAGACTCTTAGATGTGCATACCAAGTATTTTTTAGACCTTAGTTTGAATAAAACAGTCATTCAGAAGTAATTAATATTTTGTTTTTGTTGTCCGGAAGTGTTACTGATGCCTTGAAGTTTTCATTATTTAATATTTATTGAAATGATATTAGTCAGCAACCAAAATGCGAAATGAGGGGGAAAGAATCTTGATACTAAAGGTGTACAGCACACAACTTATATTTTAAAAGAACTTTATAAGTATTAGGCCCCAGAATTCTGATAAACCGAGCTACGCCTATGCCTCATTTAATGACCAAATCCTCTTTGTCTAATCTGTCCTTTTTTCTTGTTTTTTTCCTTCCTAGGGTGTAATTAAGAAGAAAACCCTAAAGAAATGTGATATACAGAATGAGTGGGTTAACTTGTCTAGATATCGGTACATATCTAAAGAACTACTTCCAGTATTAAATTTGCCAAGGCTGGAACATAATAACGTCCAGGAACAACATGTAGTGCATGAAGGAGTTAATATAGAGGAAGAAATAACTGAGGTACAGGCTAACAGAAGCATTTATAATACAGGAGCTAAAAAAATGGATGTACTTAATTTTATACTTTTGATTCCACTTAGCCTTTTTGCCTTGATCCCTCTTACATCATTCATTTCAATCCTGTACCTTTTTAATTACTTTAGTACTCATGATTTGGCCTAGCTTTACTCCATGTTTCCTTAGTAATTTGTTTTCCGTGTTTATCTTTTGTGTGTTTTTATTCCAATCTTTTCCTTTCATGTGTTAAGAATTTCATGTAACTATTTCTTTATAAATCCTTGATTTTATCTTTCCCTGTGTATTATCAATTGATAATTTATTTTGACCTCTTTCCTTTACCTTTTCCTCTGTATGCTACCATTTCAGGAGTAATGCAGGAGTCCACGTAAGTTTTTATTTTGATTTAGTACTCCTGTATGGATTTGAAGTCATTCTAGATGTGAGATTTTATTTCATTATAGGTCAGAAGCATATTTCATATGCATGCATGCATCCTTTTTTGTATTTTTGTCTTATGACATCCTGTAATATTTCTTTTATCATTTTGTGTACATAGCCATTTTATTTTTGTTGTAGAATGTGATCTGGGTCCTTAGTGATCACGCAGAGTGTAGTTATTAAATGCATTTAAATCTTGTGGGTATTAAGGGTCACTATTCTTTTGTTTGTCAGTCACTTCTAATAGAATTGGTTATTAATAAAGTTTTTTTTTTCTTAAATACCAAAAAGTAGACTAAAATAGTTACTTGAAAATTTTATTCAAGAGCACCTACGGAGGTACTAAAGTGACAGCTACCATGTCATCTTGCAATCTCAATATGTGTTTCCGTCCTTTTCACTTGTCTGTTAAAGAATTAATTTGTTGAAAAATAGTTTTTGGAATTTTCCAGAATTCCTATTGAAAAGTTTATTTTAATAGTGAAGTAATGGAATTATAAAATGCTTGTGGATGTTGTGGATCTTTCTGAATGAATGTACTGAGCATGTGCTGTAGTTTTGTGGCATTTTAATTGAACACATAGTAAACAGAAAAAAATTATAGTATGATATTGTAACAAATTTTGGAAGATTGTGTAATTATATGCCATTTTGCGACTAATATTTCACACGTTTTGACGTATGTCATACATTTTCATTTTCCAAATGATGGCATTTTAGGTGTGTGTGTGTGTTTTTTTCATAATAGTCAATTAAATGCAATTTACTTTTCATCAAGGTTTATTATCAAATTGTCTTGAAATTCTTAAGATTAATAGTGTCTCTCTTTTTTTTAATCCTTTTATGATAGTTTGATTTGTTGATGAACTATTTATGGGCATTTCATAAATTCTTTGCTTGTTTCATAAATATTGTATTGCAACAGAAAATATAACAATATTTCATAGATCTTGGTAATTTGTATAGCCCCCCTTTTCTTTCAGTGTTCAACATTATCAGAAGAATATTGATCTAATGTCAAGAGAATTTCAGTTCTTCATGCAAGTTTTAGGATATTTGATGTATTATTAGGTTACCAATCACTAAATTAGATTGTCATTAATGAAGCAAATTTGTTAATTTAGGATGAATTATTTCTCTCAGCCTAATTTATCTTGTGTATGGAACTTTCCACCCCTCTGTAGTTTATTGGTTAGCGTGCTCGCTTTCCATGATGAGATCCGAGGTTCGATTCCCAGTCGGGCAAGATTGTAGTGAGTGTTTTCCTTGCAATGTCCCAGTATAATATTGCTGTGTGACAATAAGAAAACTCACTTCTGGAGTTGAGGAGACCAAAATACGGTGTGGGGATGTCTGTGTACTAAACACGTAGGCTTTGCCGTGCCTAGGCATCATGAGGCTATTGCACCAAAGAACATACACACATAAATATGTGCGTACACATGGAACTTTTTTGTAGAATGTTATTTGGGAGTGTGAACCTCTGTACAAAACTATTCATAGAACAGCAATATCACTTAGTCTTTATTCTGAGTGAGATCATTAAATATACCATTGAAAGCACTGTTAAGATTATTTTTGACTTGAAAGTACAGTGAAACCCAGTACATGAGAGATATCTGGGAACAGAGTTTTGTTTCTTACAGGCTGGAACTCTTATAAATAAGGCACAATAAGGCAGAAAAATGCGTAAAATATATGCCATATATGCAAAAAATATACTGTATAAAATTCACAAGGAAATAAATATTTATTACAAAAATTTGATGCATAATATTTGTAGAACAAAATGAATTGTCATACAACAGTATAGCCTTTTTGAAACATGAATACGGGGGAATAATCATCGGGGAAAAACACATTTAAAAAAAATTCCACTAAATTAACTGTGCATTGGAACCCTATCATTTGTTCATTTTCCAATATTTGGAAATGGCAAAGAGATTTAAGAGAAAAGTAAATAAATTCATTGAACAAGGAACATTCTATATTTAGGTAAAAAATTAGTAGATTGTATGACAAGATACGTTTCTAAATTTGTTTCTGAATAACTGGTTCGTCTGTCAGTTATTTTTACATTGGAACAGACTGTGTGTACACGATGTTACTATCTGATGTTAGATCTTCCTTTGTTAAGGCCTACTGTCAAGTAACTGAGCACATGGTGCTGTAAAGCACAGGTGCTCTCACTTACTGAAAAACTGTTCTTGGAAGTTAAGAAAAGCACAGTCTTATCACAGGTTTATATTTCATTTGAGTCCGAGACTGAGCCCCGTCCCTCTTTGCTTGAAATTCAATCTTAGATTTTGTTGTGCAGTATGCACTATATCTACAACCATTGGCAAAAGTTTTGAGGTAAAAAGGATATTCACTTCTTTATGGTGGCTCGTGAGCTGTTCATGAACCACAATAACTAAGTTATAATACACGAATTTCTAAATGTTCAATTTTAATAAAATGTTACCTTTTCTTCCTTATTTGTTAAAAACATTTGATGAATATGTGTAAATATGCAGTAACCATAAAATGTGGCAAAATATGCAAATAAAAATTTGACAGGAACGCCGTAAATGGGCAGTTTCGGTAAGATACGTGATTTGTTTTCCAAGTAACAATTAGCAAGAAAACATGCATTTGCATGCAAATCTAGGCTTTAGTTATAAGTGTGGAAGTGTAATGTAAGTTTGCATTATTTTTATTGATGAAGAAATCTTACATTTTTACTTGACTTGCCAGATGATGTCATGTTTTTCTGAAATTGATATTGACTCCCTTTTTGGAGCTATCTGAATTGAAATTAAACAAATTATCTTGAAATTGTGATAAATAGCCTTCCACGTAATTAGACCACTGCTGAGCAGATGGTCAACACAAATATCAACTCGATGGTGAAAAGCTCAATACGATGTACTCTCTTAATGTGTGGGCCACTTAAGGTGAAAAGCCTTAGACCTGATTAACATTCTTCCTTTTAATGAACAATTTAAGAATTTAAGCATCAATCAAAAGGAAACATGTGAATAGGGCCTTGAAAATTGGGTAGGAAGAAGTACACACAGTTTAAGAATCCAGAAGGTATCAACCATAAGGTTTATTTAAAAGTATTAAATATATATATTTAAATAAAGTTGAGAGTTGATACCCCCTGGATATTTAATTATTATGGATTACTACAATATGTCTGCTGCTACTAAGGAATTTACACACAATTTATTCATGGGGACTCTGAACATCTGTCTTTTATAAGCAGGCTCTCCTATAACATGATTTATTGTATTCTCAAAATTTTTATTTTAGAAGTATCGAAGTTTGTGATTTCTTTAACTATGTGTTCCTTCAGGTGTTCCATTTAGCTATTCATCTTCTGAAGGGTTAATTATGGTGTGAGTTGTGAAGAATTTGATTGGATTTCCTGGTTAATTGTGACACAAATCCAATGTTGAAAATTATTTCTTCATGTTCCACAATTCCTTACGCAATTTAAACTCATCCCTTTCTGTGCAAATATTGAAACTTATATTTGTTTGATTTACTAGTATTGGATATTAGAATTGTCATTCATTTGGTTTCTTTCCTCTTATAAGTAAAAGGAGGAGGAAGGTTGGAAAAAAATAGATTTTCTAAATTGTTTTATTTCCTCTATTTTTTATTTTCGTTTCTTTTCTTTCCAGTTTTCTTTTTAAATGTCTTCTCAGTACAAGTTGTAATTTTCTCTCGTGTGAAGCGAGACCTTTTTTAATGACGTGCTATCCATACACTGATTAGTGGCATCTTGTTTACTTACACATGTATGTGGAAGGACATAAAACCAATGGAATTGATTCTCAACATAGGCCTTGCATTAGCATGGTCTCTGGACTGCAAAATGACTTTGAAAGGAGAAAATTTCACAATTTATTGTGCAAGTGTGTTTTTTTATTTTTGGCATAACTTCCGCAAATGCTATCTGGTGTAAGTGATTTCTCCTTTGCCTTAAAGAACATAATTTCCTAGTGTTACCTTAATAGTTTTATAATATGCTGATAACTGTGTCCAATGATATCTTTATAATGAAGTTGGGCAGCACTTCAATCTTAGAAATAACACATGCTAAAACTACACAGGGTTTTTTCAAAATTGAATTTCTTCAATTCATTCAAACGAGGCCCTGAAATTTTTAATGGATCTTTTAATTTTTGCGGGTACTTCATAAGAAGGTCATACCACATTTTCAAAATTTTCTCCAAAATAGTTTCAAATTTCTTTTCAATTCAGAATAGTTACACAATTCTTTTCAATTTTCTTGATAGATAATTATAAAATAGGTAAAAGAATGAGACAAAATGAGAAAAGCGTGTTTTTCATTAGCATCTCAGAATTATAAAAAAATTCAGTTAAACGTTTTATAAACTCTTCTGCACTTTCATAAATAAACCTGGAGATGTTTTTCTTTAGGAATATGATTTGTCAATATTAGCACTTTAAATCATTTTATTTATGGTTATTCAAAAATATTAGTGTTTTCATGTATTTTGAATTAAATCACGCCAGTTCTTTAAAATGTTTGATTTTCTCAAAAATGTCTACTCATTTTACTTCATATTTTTTTAATGGATAGAGAACAATGCTATAAGTCACATTGCAAATGTGTTTCTTTGAAATCTTTGAATTTTGATTATTTACACTATCAAAAGTAATTTAAAAAAAGTAAATCTTACTTCAAAAATTGAAAAAATGCACTTTAAAATAAATGTACCTTATGTACAAAATTATTTTTGTCTTTAAGTACTTTTGTTTTAAAATCTGTTTTACAAAAAAAAAAAAAATTTTAGATTGCTTTAAGCTCTCTGTCTTTTAGCCTATCCCCATTTGGCTGTTCCACCCTTCCCTGCATGTTCCCAGGACATAGTGTCCATTTGTGTTTCCATATTTCTCTTGTTCCTTATCAGGGCGGGACTTTCCCTGCCTTGATTGCAAGTGGTACCTCGAAGGCCCATCTCAATTGTACATAGCTGATTACAGGGTAAGCAATATATGCTGGGTTTAAAAGGTTGAGTGTTAAATGGGAAGCTTAGTGTTAGGAAGAGCCTCAAAATTCCACAACACAAAAGCAAATGTTAACCCAAAGCAGGACTTCAATTTTAACTCTTTCAGTCCAGACCATTCTGTATTTTCTGACAAGTTTAAGATGGTACCCTTGTGCGACATACAAAAGATAATTTAAATATTTTCAATGCGTTGTTGTGATAATATCAGTAGATGTTCTCTAGTCCTAAAACCTTTGTGTATGAAAGTAGTGGCAAAATGATTTGGGGTCAGAAAGGAAATCTAAAGATGAATCTGTGACAGAGGTAGCAGTTCGTGGCTGTATTTAACCTACTGTGTGTACTAGAACTACAGGAATTTACTTTCTTGAGGCAAGGGTTAAGTTGCAAACCGTCTAATGGTTGAGCGACATTTAAGTCTTGCGATCTTTGCGTGTGTGATGTTTGTGTTTGGCCAGCACATGGGTGATGTTTGGGTCTGAGTCTTTTATGTATGTGTGATGTCTGAATCCTCTTGCATGTGTGTACATGAACATGCAGTACACATGCAACTACATTTCAGTGTGTGTGCTTTTGTATATCCTTTGAACATGATAGTAAGATAGAACAAAATTTTAATTTTTCAGGATGAACCTCTGCCCCGAAAAGAAAAACGTCAATACAAAAAGAGGAAGCACAAAGTTCCACTTGCTGTTGCGGGTGGTGTGAGCGGCACTGCAGGATTAGGACGCCGGACGTCTGGAACTGCTTCAACAGCTGCTTCTGCAACGGGTCTCACAACAGCTGTATGTGCAGAAAATTTGGAAATAGATGGCTTAAGTTCCGATGAAGGTGAAGCGTCTGCTGGATTATTGTCGGGTGCTGCAGTTTCTGATGATGATGATTCAGGAGCAGATGCAGCAGAAGGACCATTTGCTTTTCGGCGGCGCAAAAATTGCAGTTACCATGCAGTAAGTACATACTATTTATTTTAATGATTTTGTTGTTTGTTTAATGCAAATTATAATACTTCATTTTTAGGGTTAAAAATTTGTATGCTAGTTACACATTTTTTGTAGGGATATCCTGTAATTTTATAGGATGCTTTGATTATTAATGAACATATATTCAGTTGTTTCTATACAAACTAGATTAATAGTTATACTGTACCAGTACATTGTGTAATATGTATCGTGAATTATAATGTTACATTCATTATCATCTGTATGTTCGAAATGCACTTACTTGTTGCATGTAATTTATAAATACCACTTTATAAGTTATACTGTTAAACGTTATGATTGGGCTCTTTGTGTGTTCAATTACATGCATACTTACAATGCCTATGTAATTCTTTCAAATGTTCTTTCAGCCACTTCCACAAGGGCAAGGCAATTGGCCATGGTGTAGTCGGGAAGAAGGTGGTTTGGCTGATCGTCGGTACCGTTACTGTTTGACGTCTGTAACAACACCAACTCCTGGACGTTGTGTAGGTTTTGCACGGCGGCGTTTGGGCCGTGGGGGTCGAGTAATACTTGATCGTGCGTATACACCCATGGATGATGTGTTTCGGTCGCTTGACTTCACAATTTTTGATTCGAAAGATAAACAAAAAGTGCAACAAAGGTCTCCACTAAAGCAATGGCCACAACCTCAACCGAAAAAGGTATTAATCGGAAAACCTCAGTTAAAGCGAATGCAGACGACGCATCTCCCATCTGGAGAAATTCGGACTTCCCATCCATTGTTACAATCTCAGACTGCAGGCCATCATGTAGATACAAAATATGAAATATCTTCGATTAAACAACGTCGACTAGATCAGAATCGCCCTGAGGAGCAGCAACCTAATGAATTTCATCTCAGACCCAAGCCTGATCTTCCTCTCCACAACACTAACGTGTTTCGAGATCAGCGTCAGTCACACATCAAAGATCAGTCTTCATGGCATCAGCTTTCCGAAGAAGATAGACGAAAATATAAATCCGGGATTCAGGCAAATTGGTTTCAAACTCTTGAAGATAGAAAATCTCGAAGTGCTGATCGAGAGATACGGACGCATTCACGATATCAGACGTCAGAAGAACAAGTGTCAGGTCAGCAGCAGAAACATCCATCTGAAACACGCAGTGAACCAAACCCAGGTCAACATTTGGAGGAATCAAAACCATTTATCCAGGAGCTCTGGGAAGATCAAGAAAATGAAGATGATCTTCTTTTGTCTGAGATACGTAATGAGTGGTAAGAACAATAATATTTATAATTTTATCTATATTGCTTTATCTTAAACTGTAACAATTGCATGAAGTTTTAAAAAATTTGACTGAGGGGTGAAAAGGAATTTTTCTTTTGCATGTATTGTTGGTGAATAAATTTTGCCAATTGAAGAAATTAAAAAGAAAGTTTTTCTTCCTGTGATTTTAAATTTTATTTGATAATTGAATCTTCATTAGAATATCAGTATATAATTAGCAATTAATTGCTTTTAGCTTAAATTTAAATGCATAGCCATGTCGTCATGCCAGTAATCCCCTTGGGCCAGTCTCCTATCAAGAAGATGCCCGTTGGATTCAATATTGTTCGTGTGAATCTCAGTTACAAAATCCATGAAGTGAAGAGAGTGGTTCACTACTCCATGGATTAAGTTATTTTGATCCAGCTGACTGTACTCCCTCCAGAAGTTAGTGAAAATTGTGGAGCCGGGTACCACATACTGCAAAATCAGTTGCCAATGAGGCCGAATCACTTTTATTATTGGGGCCCACTTCAGGCGAACTTCTCTCATTTCCTGGTCAATCATGCCCAGAACCCACTGTCCTACACGACCAAGATGATACTTTCAGCGGCCAATCTTGAATTCGTCAATTTCAATGATATGGTTTTTGCTGCCGATTTTCGATTGCTTGCAGTAGCGTGATTCAGAATGTCTAAACACACTTCTCTAATTGACTGTACAGTCATAAGTGCACTGTTCAGTCATAAATGCACTATTCAGTCATAAGTGAGGCCAAACAGCGAATGAATTGCATGGTTGGTACCCTATGTATTCAGTGCATGATGGATATAATTCATATATAAGTGCTTGCTGCAATCTGCACATAACATGCAATTGCTACAATACCCGAAGTGTCATTTTCAATGATGAGAAAGTCATTCCAATGCCATTCCCCCTACCTTCGTGGTTTAGTAATGCTGATCCTGTCCTAATGCGTGATAAAGCAGTATTCTTTCATATGTTGGAAGTGTTCCTGCTGGTACCATCTTCATGTCTGTTTCTCTTGCCTACAATTCAATGCCACCTTTGTAGTTGTTTGTCCATTCTTTTTGCATGTTTTCTCTTTCTTCTGCCAAGTTTTGTTTTCAGTTTTTTTCTAATTTCCTCATTTTAAATTTTGTCATTTCTCATTACTTCTAAAAATTGCCTTGGAGAGCTTCAACTGAGATTCTTTCAAGCTTGTGGCTTTCTTTGTGCCCACTTTTCATATTCCTGAACTATACTTCAACGCAGATTTTGATTTAATGTTATAAATGCTCATAATTGTTTCTTTGGTTCAAAGTGTGTTTATTATTCATTTATTTATTAACAGGTTATGCCCTTAAAATAACAAATTATACAAAGTAAATATGTCACACAGGTTACGTGCCACAATGCAAATAATAAAAATACAAAAATGTAATTACTAAAAAAAATATAAAGCGCACACAACTGCTTCCCAGAGAGTATAAAATAATTATTTATAGGAGTAGTATATACAGTAGTTCGTAGAATAAATGGTGGTCGATTATCTTTAGATCAGAGACTAAAAGAAGTTTAAGGCAACTAAACAATTTTTAAAGTTAGGATCAAAATAAGTCCTATCAGCATAGTACCTCATGGTTCTGGGCAGTCTGTTAAAGATAAAAATCCGTACTGTCTGATACAGACTTGAAAATTATTGAATCTTCTACTACTATTTCAGCTGGAAAATGTTCTTTGCAAAGCCAACATTTTTTATCTCAATATTTTCATTGGATACAATCTGCATATATTTCTTAATTGAAGATTGGTTTTGATTTTGTCTCTTCCTAGTCTGTTATAATATCTTGTTGCTTGTTATTCCAGTGTAACTTTTCTGTTTGCAATCATTAAAAGTGTTATTCAGGTAAATGTTGAATAGTAGTAGTTGCAATCTGCATCTAGAATAGTCTGTTGTTGGCTTTCATCTTCTGTGTTATTTTTAATGACATTTAAATACTGGTATAAGCTCTGTATATTTTTGTTTAAATGTTCTAGTAGTTGCTTCTCTGAAAATTTCATATAATTTCTATTGTTAAAAATTTTTTTTGTAATCAATAGGTGGCGTGAAATAAAGACCTAGTATTTAATTCAAGTTTGAAGTGAGTAGTAAACGCATTTACTACCAAGCGAAAGAAAAAGGCTTAAAATTTAGCCATTAAGCTTTGTTATGTGTTGTAAAGGCTGCTTAAGAGAATGGTGTATGTCTCATTTTTGTTGAAATCGTTGATTTTTTTTTTTTTTTCAAATTGCAAGTGTTCAAATTTTATTTGGCATCTTCCTGCAACTACAAGGTTGTAGGTAGAGATTGTTTCTTTGATGAAATCTGTTCTTAAAGACATCTTGAAATAAGGTCATTTACAATTTTTCAAAATATGAGCAGTTTTTGCATAATTTTACATGAATTATAGGCCTTCATTTTAAACAATTATTTTTTCAAAATGGTTCCAAATTTTTCTTTAAGTTGTCTTTTTATGTGTATCAAAGAATGGTTACAAAAAAAAATTAAAGCCTCATTTCAGGAGATCTACGAAATTGAAGATAGATTTTTTTACCTTCAACAAAATCTGTTCTAAAAAATCGTCTTTTTAAAAAGTTCATGTGTAATTTAAAAAAAAAAATTGTTTTTGCATAATTTGTGCTTTAAATTTATGTTGAAAAAATATTTTCTCAAAAACTGTTCCAAATTTGTACTTCAAATTTTTTTGACTTACAGAGCAAGAAATGCTTGAATGGTGCAGGTCTCACATTTGTTGAACTTCTGAATTTTTGAAAATTGCAAATTTATTTATATTTACATTTCATTTACATATAATACGGGCGAACACCCAATTATTATTAGGACATTAATAGATTAGAAAAATCATTCAAAGTCAGGTTTTTCGCATTGCATTTAAATTTATAATTCGGGCAATTCAGATCAATCACATTGTTGTAAGCTCTTCAACACATGTTCCATAATGGAACATAATAAAAAGAGTTTGTTCTTGCAAATGAAACATTAAATAGTACAGTTTCACCGGAGGAAGTTTAGTATACAGTGTTGGAGAATCTGTAAACGTTCCCGACAAGACGGCAGTGAGCTTGTATTCAGATTAGCTGCAATATGATGGTATCCATTAGTTAACCTAGGTGATAGCATACTGAGTTGATGAGCATCAAATCTAAAATATTTTAGAAATAATGGGCAGAAGTATGTATCATTGTAGAATCATTAGTTATTGATATTGTGGTGAGCTTTCGTTGGCATTTACAATGCAATAATTATGAGTCGTCATTGCCAACTATAGCAATGACTGCAATTGTTGTCATTGACGAATCATTAGTTATTTTTACAGGGCAATTATCATTACCATTGACTTTTTTAGTCAAATACTGAATGACTGAATTCTCTGTATTACAATTGCATATTTTGATATTTCTACATCATAATACACCTTACTTTTATATTATTAAACTATTATTCTATGTACCTGATCCATACACAAAATAAAAAAAGGTTTATGATTGTATCTTGTATCTGTTTGAATTTGGTATTAATGATTGTACTATGGAAGTTGTGTATTTTATTTTATTGATTTATTTTTTTCATTTTACAGGCTTCATTTTCGACCAGAAACACAAAGCGTTATGGATTTGGGTGCTTTACGTTTTGATGTAGAAGTGCCAAACGGTGGTTCCCCTACAGAAATGAGTGTACTTGATATCCTATGCAACATGCCTGGAAATATTATGGACACAAGTGAAGTAGACACATCAAATAGTTGGGGAAGTGACGGGCCGGAATCTATCCGTGAAGATGCAGCCACTCAAACTGTTCGACAAACAGTAGCATCGCATCAGGCCTATGTTGATCATTGTAAACAAAACGAATCTCGTGCTGTTTCAGATGATCTTTTATATGTTGGTTGCTCACAGTTCAATGTGTATCCAGGGTCAGGTGCACTGAAAACTAGTCCCCCACAGGTAAACATTTTAAATTTTCATTTTTAATATTTTCAGAATCAATTGATTTTTATCTCATGGGAATGAAAGGTCTATTTTTATTGTTGGAAGATCCTCCTACCCCCACCTATCCACAAATTTAACTCAATATTTTAGATTTTTTTCTAGAAGGCAGTGTGTAGATTTGGAAATATAATTTGAGAGATGAGATAAATTCTGACAAAATGTGCCTACTTTTCCTCAACCTTGTTCTTCTGGAAAATATATTTTGATGGCTTTTCAAATAGACATCTGCGTCCATCTGATGATTTATAATATGTTGTGGCTTGAAGAGAATCTGACCATAATGCTTTTCAATGTGTTAACAGTTGTGGGCCACCATCTCAGCTACCCCTCACCCTGCACCAGGGCCTGGCCGACCGCTAAGTGCTTCCTCTGCTGCTCGGGCTACACATCAGCATCGGAAACAAGAACGCCACCATCAAGGTTATCTCTTTAGTACAGGAGGCACTTCTTCTGCTAGCAATCCTCAGCCTCTAAGCAATGGAGTAAGCATCATACCAGTATCAGTGTCTGCAGTTCTATCGGCAAATCCTGGTCTCTTGAGACAAGGCCTTAGCAATGGACCGGCTGGGCCGATGTCATCTACTGGTGCAGTTGGGGTGCCAACTGGCAGAAGACGTACGATTCCTGTTTTTATAAAGCAAGAAGTAGTGGAGGAATCTGTGGATGTTCCAAATGAAACATTTAATTGGTAAGAGTCTTTTATCATGTGAATGCATGTACTTTGAGACGGCCAATTCAATTTTTTGACATTAGTGCACAAAATACAGTGTAAGTAATATTTAGTTCCTTAGTTGAAGTAATATTTACAGTATTAATAGTAAAATGCCCATTACTAATAAAAAGATGGGTTTTAAAACATATGAAGAGATTGATCATAAAGACATAAACTGACGATTGCATTCTGCATTCATTTAGAAAGGTGTTTTGGCTATTCAGAACTCTTTAACCTGGATATGCAAGATTGTGAACATGGATGCACCATAGCTGTTTTGGCTCAAAGTCTTAGGGTTATTGCTTCAAATCCCACCTTGGAAATGAATGTTGTTTTAGGTGTTGCTTGGCAAGACTTTCCCCACCTTTCAACTCTTATCTTCTAGTATTTGGCCTCCTTCATAACTGCCCTAAGTGAGTTGCAATGTTAGTGAGGGGTATCTTGACACCTAAATAAAAATTTGTAATTATGGAAATTAGTGAGGAGATGGGAATTAGGATCACCTTCATAGCTGAGGAAGAGGGAGGAGAGTCCCCTCCCTCTCCCAAGGAAAAGGGTTAAGTCCTGGTAATGTGTCAAGGAAGATGGGGGAGATGAGGTCACTGAGAGGGCAATAAGAGGTTAAAATGTGGTCTAATAAACAGTAGCATATAATTTTTTTAAAAAATATATAAAAATAGTCAAAACTTGCATTATGGAATGGGGTAGAGATTGTCTCACTGGGTGCTGATATGGTAACCCTGCTGTGTACCTGTTCTTTGACAGATGATAATGGCTGATAAACACAATGTTGGTCATATTATGTAACTGAGGATAGTAATAACAATAATTAGTGAATTTAGTCATTGTAGGTGTATTAAATGTAGACAGTTCGTGTTCTGTTGCTTATATTTTTTCTAATATTTTATACATGTATATGTGTGTTTGGGCAGTGTGAATTATGGTGGTGGGGCTGGTTCCTCACTTGGGGATACTACTGCATCTGGCCTTCGTGTAGCATCAGCTACTGGAGATGCTGGCACGACAGCTACAGCAGCTTGCGGGGAGCAACAAAAGCTGAAAAGCAGTAATGCATCCCAGCAGCACGTACTGATGGAGGTCACTTGATGTGTGCCGAGGTTTGTTCCTATAGATTGTACTGTTTTCCATCTTCTCGTACTGTTGGGACTGGTAGAGAGTTGCTTGGTAGTTATTGGTAGGTTATTATTCCCATTCGAGTGCTGTTGCAAGTTTCCAATTACCTATTTTTCAGTTTAGAAAAATTTTGTAATTTAATATTAATCTGTTGCATAGGTTGTCATGTACTATTCGTGTTTCTGTTTTCCCCTTAGTGTAGAGTGCTTTTCAGTAATTTGAAACAATAAGAAGTTGTCAATGGAATTACCGGGTAATGTAGGCACGTTTTGTCTAGAGGCAAAAGCAGAAAAGTATATTGCATTGCATAACGTTTTTTTAGGTCACTCTATTACTCATATCTATTTCGTGCATTTTTATGAAACACGTTAGCCACTTTGAGTAAAGCTGTGGAATTTTATTGATATGGAAGGAGAAGGGGGGAATTAAAAATCAGATTTAGGGACATTTTTAGTACTAAAAGATTATTTCACAAACTCGAACACCTCTGATGAAGATGCAAAATTAATTCCTGGATTCAATCCTTCTTGCAAGACCAAAGTTACAAAGTTAAAAATGGTAGAAATAATCTGTTAGAGGAATCACTAGTGGTGATACCCAGCACTCTATTCTGAGCCCTGTACTATTTATGTTATACATCAACGATCTCCATTTTAACCAGACCTCGTACTCACGATATATGCAGATGATACCAATTCTTACTCTAACCCGTTAACAGACCGTGACCAATTACAAGGTGACCTAAATGCTGTAGAAGAATAGTCCATGATGTGAATGATACAAAGTGCTACATGATTGAATGAGTCAAAGTGCACTGTTATGCATATAGGCAAGAATAATCTGAAGTTTCCTTATTACTTCAGTACAAATATGGGAGCACTCTCAACAGTCACGAAGAATCTATGGTAGCATGGTCAGGGATGATTAGAAATGAGAATCATGTGTTTCGTATGTTGTAAAGAAAGCTAATTAAGTCACATACACCCTCAAAATGACCTTTAACTGTCTCAGAGGCATGTCCTTCACTTTGCTTTACAACATGTATATCCTTCTGATAATAGAATTTGGAGCGGTGATTTGGAACCCCTACTTCACTAAAGATATCAATTTACTTGAAAATATACAAAGAAGTGTACCCAGTGACACGTATACCCATCGAGCTTAACCCTTTATTGGGCAAACTATTTTAACAGCACAACTGGGCAAGCAGGAATGTCTGCGATGCAGTTATGCTTACAGATGTTCTTTTTGGACGTAGATAATGAAACAAAACTAATATAATTGTTTAATTTAACAAAACCTTTCAAAATACTTTACATTTGTTATTAAACAGTTTTTCTCTTATTATAGATCACACACACTGCTACCCTGGTTATGCTCATTACATACAGGTTTTGAACAGATGAAAAAACATCTGTTTCCTATTTTTTTCCTCAAGGTCACAAATGACATTGTCAAAAATTTTCTGATATGTGGAAGCTCCTTCTTCCCCAAAAACGTGTGTGATTGACTGGCAACACTTGTTTGACAGTCTCCTTACATTTTGTCTATTAACCAAATTCTTTGCAATATGAACAATAAAAAAATCATAATATCTCATGTTTTCTCACATTCAGTCAGGATCAGCAACATTCCTAAAGCTGTGAAGTTTTCCCACAAAATCTGGACAATACACTACTTCCAACACTCTCTCTCTTTATTTAGCTACATACTAACTCGCAACAATACTCTCTACAAAGGTGTTAATCTTAGAATTGCTCTCACATAGTAGCATAACTTCCTGATGAAAAGATGTTGCACAACCCAACATCTGTCCATCCCTTGGGCACAACGAAGTCGTAAAGTAATCATCCAAACAAAACAGAAAATTCAATATTACAAGCAGATTAAAAGACCTGGGTCCAACCCTGCTTGCCTGGATGCAGCTGATAAAGACAAAGATATTTTTATTTATTATTCAGAAACGCTTTTGTAAAATGGTTACGGGAACATTTAAAAACACTATATCATCACGTCATGAAAAACTATCCTAATGCCTTGGATAGTTTTCACATAAAATATTAAAAGTTTTACTTCTGAGTCCAATGGACCCCGGTTCCTCGGATAAAGGTTAAACCTCTCCCATACGAACAAAGACTTGTCAGGTTGAGATTACCATTTTTGAGTGAAAGATGAGTATGTGCCAACATCGAACTTTCAAAATTGTTCATGGATGTTACAATGCCGACTGCAGGATATACTCCTGTACTCTACCAACCTATGTCTCGGAGGACATTCCATAAAACTTCTGAAATCAAGACAAATTCAACACAAAAACCTCTTGGGTAATAGTTGTAGATCTGTAGAATAGCTTTTCTGAACGTGCCACGACAGCATCATCAATTCATGTATTCAAAATTGATAAAACTTGTACGTTTGCTTTGTAATTAGATATACCTAACGTTATTCTTTATACTACGGTACTTCTTTTTTTGTGATACTTCAGTTTTCAGATGTTTATAATATAATATTCCGCTTGACCAGAATCAGTTTATCACCAATTTACACTTTAGCTTGTATCATTGCGTATAAATAAATATATAAATGTAAATAACAAATAAATGAGTGGTTAAACTACCATTGCAAAAGACAGTTTCAACACTCACTCTCTCTCTCTCTCTGACTCTGTCACAGTCACTCTCACTCTCTCTCTCCGACTCTGTCACAGTCACTCACTCTCTCTCTCTCTCTCTCTCTCTCTCTCTCTCTCTCTCTCTCTGACTCTGTCACAGTCACTCTCACTGTCCCCGACTGTCTCACTCTTTTTCATTCTCACTTTCTCACACTCTTTATCTCACAATCTCTTTCTCTCACTTTCTCACACCCACTCATTCACTCTTTTTCTTTTGCTCTTTTCCTTTCTCTTCTTTCTCTTTCGTTTTCTTTCTCTCTTTCGTTTTCTTTCTCTCTTTTTCTCCCCCTCTGTGTATATGTAATTATCTCTATAATTCAAGACTAAGAGGATTAAAGCAGAATATGTATTTTTGTGTGATAATTTAAGAAGTAGATCTTCCCTGTAATTCATTTATATCTATTACAGAAATAGAAATACACTGCCTGAAAAAAAAAAAAGTGAAGCACCCAAGAGTGGTTGGAAGTGAATGAAACTACATATGCTGAAAGACCATGTGACTTATTGAACTGATTACAATATGGGATGAAAGAGACAAGACCATTGGCAGTTACAGGTGGAATGTTGGCACCAGGTCAGTAGGATGTTGCACCTCCTCTGACTGCAATGCATGCCCTTATGCGGTTCGGAATGGTGTCAAACAGCCTTTGGATCCTCTCTTGAGGAAGATTCGTCCACAGTTGTTGCGGCTGTTCCTCCAGATCCTGCAGGTTGGTACTGCGAGGGAGTCCCCTTCCAATGGCATCCCACATGTGTGCAATGATGGAGAGGTCCGGCGATCTTGCTGGCCACGTGAGGACCTCAAGATGCTCTAGGCAGTCCGTGGACACATGCTCTAGGCAGTCTAGTGTGTGGGCGTGCATTATCGTGTTGGAATACTGTCTCTGGGTTCTGTGCCATAAGGAGTAGGACGTGCAGACGCAGAATGTCTGATATATTGCTGTGCCGTCGTCTGCCGAAGCCCTATTAGAGGTGATTTGCTTCCATATCCGATGGCTCCCCAGACCATGACGCCGAGGGTTACGCCTGTGCATCTCTCCACATTTTGGACAGGATGTGCCATCTGCCCTTCATGCCACCACAGTCAAACACGATGGTAATTGGAAATGATGGCGAAATAATGGGTCTCATCACTGAACATTATGCCACACCATTCGTCGTCTGCCCATACCTCCCGGGCACTGCACCAATACGAATGCTGACGTCAGGGGTCTATGGCACTGTCAACTGATGCATGGGGCGGTGGGAACCTAAACCCGCGGAGGAGAGCCGTCAAGTCACTGTGTGGGAACTGGTTGGATGTAGTTGGCGCCAGTACCTGTTCGCGGATGACGGGTGCCAATGTCATGTGATTCCGCACTATTTGGCACACCATATGACAGTCCTTCCTGGGGGTTGTTTCTTTGACCAGAGATTGTGTACGACATGGTTGCTCTTATGTACCCGTTGATTGCAACATCTATCACTGACATCTGAATGGCCCGCATACGCACGCTGGCAATCGTACAACCAACAAGCCTCATGAAGACCCACAATGCGAACTCTGTCAAATGCAGTGGATAGGATGTCGAACGTATCTACGTGGCATGGTGTGTGATTCGTACAGTATTTAAACGCCGTTCTTCGCTGTCAGGCTCAAAGCAATTGACTGATAACAACTGCGGAACAAAAGGGTGGTCACATCACAATCACGAATGCTCTCTGGGGGGGCGGGTTCTACACATGACAGACATATATGAATTGAATCATGTACTCATACATCAATGGCATGCGTGTATACCGAAATGGGGTAATATTGGACCACTCCTTCTGAGTGCATCACTTTTTTGTCAGGCAGTGTAAATATATGTGTAATGTATCGTCATTGACTCTTCAGACCGTTTTAAAAATATTTTCATATGTAGAAAATTTCTACTACGCAAGTTGTAAATAAAATGAAACTCCAAACACAGTTGTCTGGTTCTTTTATCCAGGAGCTTAGTACGTAAAAATAATCTATTAAGAATTAAAATTAAATAAAAAAATGTGTTATTGCAACTCTTCTTCTCGGATGTTGTTTTGGGCAACGGCCACCACCCATGTAAGAATACGGTTTTGGAGAACCTAATCCTAACGCTCCCAAAAGAGTTGTTCTGAAGAGTACATTCTTTCAGTGTGTGATCAGTCAGAAAATCAAAGAAAATTTGTACATGTGCAAGCTTCTATACTAGAACGTAGAGTTCCATTCTTGTAAATTTATATTATTTATTTATTTAATTTATGGAAGCAGAAACAATCTGAT